CAGGCAGATGGACAAAGTACACTGCTGAGGGGAGCAGCGGGCGGGTCAGTAGAGGTCTGCCACGCCATGTGGTCACCTCCGGGGCAGGCGGGAATCAAACTCATGAGGAAGCGGCTTTAGATTCTCAGTGCTGTGCTTTAACCCGCTGCGCCACCAGGGAGGGCCTGAAAGCACTTTTTAAACATCTGCATGCTCTTTCCCCAATGAAGATCACAAAAATTAGGTTTTGTTGAATTAAGAAAACAAACTTCCACCTAAAGACAGTGCACCGTCTGAAGTCCATGCCTACCGGCATGCCATAGGGTCTTGTAAATACTGACGGCTCACTCTTTAACAGTATTTAAAAATGGCAGTCTCCTACCTTTGATCCTCAAAATAGCCCTAGGAGGAAAGTGGAGGCATCATCCCCACCTTTTACCAAAGAAAGTGAAGCACAGAGAGGGCCAGGTGGCTGCCCAAGGCTGCACAGCCAGGTGTGAGACAGGCCTGGGAATCAGAGCCCACGCTCTCACCACCAAGCCCCACGATGCCCACAATGCACATCTACATCCACATACTTCCACCTTCTGCAGATGTGTGTGCATGAGGTAGAGGTACTTTCCATTCAACTGAGAAGCAAATCAAAATCCTAGCCTTAAAGTGATCTATCCCTGACACTGTCCAATGCTCACCAATGGAAAGTCATCAGAATTACCTACTGGTACATCCCAAAAAGTTCCACAAAGCTGCATAGTGACCAGATGCTCCACAGACAATGGTTCTCCTACGTCAGACAGGGTTCAGAGAATATCCCTCGTGGTCCTTCCTTTGCTTGGGCAAACAGCCCTCTTCCCTGTCATTCTACCTGGGACAAGAACTCTTCTCAAATCTATCTCCTCAACCCCCACTCCATCTTTGTTTCTTTTCTAGATTATCATTCCTAATCAATTCCTGTCCTTTCCTTCATCCTTAACCTCTTCCTGGCACAAGTCTCTTCCATCTTCAAAATAATTCCTCAGCCTTTGACTCACACCTTGGAGTAAACCACGGAGCCTCACAGCCATTGTTTTCTTCCCTCATTGGCTTTGGCTGGGATTGGCCCCACCCTGCTATCCAGGGGAGAGTTTTGATGGTGTTAATCAAAACACCTTGCAGCTGCAGACCTCTACCCACCAGGGCATGGTTACTTCCAGACACACTGGGGGCTCAGGGGCCCAATGGGAGAACAGTCCAGGACTATGGCCCTGTCTGAGGGAAGGATGTTCAGAATGCTTTCAAGTTTCAAAAGCCTAGAGCTTCGTATGAGAGAGAGAGAGAGAAGGAGAGGGTGAAGGAGAAGGGGGGGGGGAGGGAGGAAGCAATGAAAAAAAAGAGGGAGGGAGGAGTGGAAGGAAGGAGGATGTAGAGCAGGTGAAGTGAGACAGCAATATACCGTTGTCCAGGTTGTGCACTGCACAGCCCCAGGGAGAATTCACACAGACCATGATTTAGACAACCATGTAAGGCAGGTTGATGGAGCCCCAGGTGGTACCTCTCCAAGACCATAGAAGGATCCCAAGATGGCGATTCAAAGAGAAGGGCAGAAGGACTAGAAAGGACTCGGAACCCTGCTCTCCCTTGGGGGGCCTGGGGCAGAGAAGCATCATAACTAACTCCTGAGCATTTCAAAGACTCTGAGAACATTTGAAATAGGAATGGTGGAATGTAAGAGTTTGACTGAAAGTGTTTTCAGTTCATCGGTGGACTCCACTCAACGCACTTACAGAGGGATGCGTAACCGCTGAGCTGGATTGCAACCGTAAACGAGGCAATATAGGTTCACTGGAGGAGTGGGAGGGTGGGAAGGCAGCAAGAATTGAGCCCTAAGACCCCACAGTTTTGGAGGTAAGAGGGTCAGGAGGACAGAAGAGAAGGGGGGAGGCTGTGGAGAGAAAGGGGCCAGTGAGGTAGCAGGGAAGCCAAGAGAGTAGCACCCGGGGAGGTAAGTGTAGGCGGCGCCCAGGAGGGAAGCCTGGACACCTGTGCAATGGTGGCTAAGAGGACGTGAGAGGCTAGACCTGGGAGCGAACTTCAATGCTGGGAAGAGGGTGTGTGCAGGGGTCTGGATGGAATCAGGAGATAGACAGAGGAGGGAGATAGAAGACAAAGGAGACACAGCTTTCTGGAAACAGGGTTATAGCTGCAAGGAAATGGGGCCCAGGGAAACTTCATTTTTCCATGCAGATGCAATGATAGCTCATCTTATACTTACTGATAGAGAGGATTTAGTAAAAAGGAAAAGAGTGATGATACAGGAGAGAACCAGAGGGAATTTGGTCCTGGGAAGGAGAGTCAGGGGAGGCTTCATTTGGTAAGGGAGAGCCCAGGGATGGATAGCACCTGGCGGGAGAGGTGGACACTATCCTTGCCATTCTTGTATGTTTCATCATTTGTAATAAAAGAGAGGCGGTGTCAACTTCTAAAACGCAGTGGTCTTTCCATGGAAGGGTGGAGAAAAGAGTAGGGGTTCTTGTCCCAGTAATGGGAAGACATTAGTGGAGGCAGGATTTGGCTAAGAGGACATGAGAGGTGGGACCTGGGAGAGAACTTTAATGGGAAGCAGGGCAGAAAAATGTGTTAGTAAGAAAGGGCGAGAAATTCCAAGGGTGGCACAGGATGGATGAGGGGTCAAGTTCACTTCCCCCAAGGGCAGACTGGTGTGACCACATCCACCTTGGTGTGTCCCTCCAAGGTGCTGGACCCTCCACCTCTGCACGGGGAGGGCGCGGGGCTTGCCAAGATTCCCAGTCTTGATTTCCCCCTTTGTTCTCATTTACAAACCCACATCCCAGCCTGCAGGGCCTCTCTCCTGGACTGCCACCTAGTCGTCCTTCTGACCCCACAGGCACTGCCACGCGCCCACCCTCCCAGCCAGGGAGCCAGAAGCCCTGGCTTTCCTTGACTCTGGTCCTTTCTACCTTCCAGCCAGGAGTGTGCTGGACATTGTTTAGCCACCACTCTCCAAACACAGATGAGCAAAG